GAGCGGTAGCCCAGGAAGCGATCTGAGTGGTACAAGCAGGGAGCACCACTGGGGATGCAGGTGATCCCCAGAAATCGAGTCCAGTTCTCCCAGATTGCCTGCTTCTCTAGTGGAGCATAGCCTGATCCTGGAGGCAGTGGGGAAGAAACCCCGAGAGGATCAATAAACCCCGCCAGGGAGAGGTGGGGGGGGAGGGGGAAGGTCAGGGGCACCTGAGACCCCGTTTCACAGAAACTGCCTTTTTGCATTGCCTTAAGTTGCCAGGGTATTTCTGAGGGAGGGGCATGCTGGGAAGAGGAGCCCCACCCCCACCCCCACCCAGCAGAGCGGCAAACCAGAGACCGTCTCCTTATCGCCTTCCTCTCTTCCGGTCCCCCAACTGCGCGTGGGGCCAAGAGTTGCCCTGGCCCTTTAGCGCAGATGGACGTGCTGCCCTCCAGGCGCGCACATTTGCATAGACAGACGCGCCAGCTGGTGGATTGTGGGCACCCGAAAGCCAGGGACGTTGGCGGCGAGGCGGGTGGCAGGAAGAGCCCCGTGCACGGGCCAGGGTGGGCTGCGTCCCCCGGGCCCTGCCAGGCTTCGGCGCGTCACACCCCACGGCTGGGATTTCTCTGGAGTTTCCGTTGCTTTCGCCCTCACCTGGCTGAGTCAGCCAAGGAGCCTTTTGAGCCACTTTTCAGAGCCTGACTTTAGTTCCACTGCAGGGACGAGCCCTCGCCCTATGGGTTCCAGGGTGTAGCCAATCCCGCGAGGTGGGACCGAGCGGGCTGCAGGCAGGGCGGTGCCCATCCTCGCGCGGGGGGCGTTTAAGAGCTCCGGGAGCGCGGAGGGGTGGAAGTTGGGGCGTGTGGCCCCCCTCAAACGCAGGGCTTTCGCTCAGGTCCCCAGGCTGCCCCTCTGAGCCCCACTGCTCTGACCCCACCCTTCGCCCGCCCGGCGAACCCCAACCAACCTCGCCTCCAAGCGCCCGGAGAGGGGAGCGCGAGCGCGCGCGCTGGGTTCTCGCCCCGCGGCCTCCCCGTGGCGTCCTGGCCCCGACTGCGCGCCGTGGCCGTGGCGGGGGCCAGTTTATATCTGTCCTGACCGTTGTTTGCGGTACACACACCCACTCTATTTAGTACCAAATAAAAGAAATACATCTGTGTTGTCAACAGCAACAAGCCGCACGGTCTCCGCGGCCTCCCAGGGTCCAGAGGCGCTCCCTGGGGTGTCAGAGCGGCTCCCAGTGAGGTTTCAGCCCCTAGGAGTCTGGGGGTCCGCCATGGGGGTGGGGCGCTGGGCTGCGCTGGGCTGTCAGTTCCCCCCTGGCTAATGAGTAGGGGGGTGGGAGGCATCTCTGCCCAAAAGAGAAGAGAGGGTTGCATGGGAAAAGAAGGGAGAGCCGCCCTTACTGCCTGCCCAGTCTTTTCTAGAAGGTTCTTCTCAGCTTGCCTCAGCCTGGGGCCATCAGAGACAAGCAGCTGTTCAGGGTCACCTCCAACAAGATGTGCCCGCATCTGTAATAAGGGCCACTGTGAGGCTAGACGCGTAGGCAAAGGTAGGTAGGGGTGCGGGGGGAGGGGTCTCGGAGGCAGCGGGGTCAGGAGCCCTCCCTGCCTGAAGTGGGTGCCGCTGACCTGTGTGTCACACACACACACACACACACACACACACACGCACGTTTGCACGGGGCTGCAGGCGGGCATTGAGCCAGGGGGTCATTTGCATGGACTTGAAGATTAATTGAAAGCTAGTTCTTAGGGGGGTTAAATCAGGAGTGCTGGGGTACCGGGTGTAGGCAGTTCTGCTCTCCCACGATGGAGCTGGAAGCACCCCATTCTCTCTCCCCACCCCCTGGCCCCTCCAGTGCTTAATCCCTGCTAAAGGGGGGTGGGCAGGATGGGGGAGGAGATGACACCCCCTAGCCAGCTCCTAGCCAGTCTCACCTATTGATTTCTTAGCTCACCGTCCTGGGACGCACCTGCACGGGTCCACGGGGTTCAGCCCACATCACACCTGCAATTCTTCTCTGCCCGTGAGAAACCCCATGACCCCTGCCCCAGAGAAGGGGACCGGCAGGTTCCCGGCAGCGCCACCGCGGCTACCTCCCCTCATTAAGTCTCCGGGGAGGGACACTCTGCCCAGGGTCATGGGGCTCCCCAGAGAAAGGACAGGGACAGAGTTGAAAGCAAGACAAAGAATAAACTGTGAGTGGAGAACCAGTTATTTCTCGACTTTGTAAAGACCGGGTCAGTTGAGAAGCGTTTTCTAGAATCCAAACACAAATAAAGAAGTCTTTTCTTGGTGTTTGATAACATCGCGGCCGCGCTGTAAACTCAGGGATGTGTTTGCTGTTGCAACATTATTTTTAATGAGCTGTTACTGACCTCTCCCGCAGCCAGTATTGGCAACAGTAAACGGCATCACTGTGTTGCAGGTAACACCAGGAACAACATATTTTGACCCGGAATTTCTGTTTGTTTTTCATTTGTGCCACATGCCCTCGTTTTTATTCCAAACCAGGGGGATATGAAGGGAAATCTATCTTCGCTGAGGTCCAGGCTAAAAATGTTGCCATAAATACGCATGCCGGTTTATTTGGGGGCAGTTTCCCATCAATAGAAAATGGTACTGGACGAGTTGGTCAGAGCAGAATCAATGGTGTCTGGGGAACACAACACGCGGACACCAGCAGAGCGCGCCAGGGAGAGGGACCGAGAGCGCGTCCCCAGCGGAGATACCCAGCACTCTTCACCCCAAACCGAGCTGCACCTCATCTCCCCCTTACAGCGCCCCGATTCCAGCCGCACTGCCAGGAGCTTGGCAGGCGGACCCCCAGACTCTAAGACAGGTCACCCCACTGCGCCAGCAAGGGGTATGCAGTCATCTGCTGGACTGGCAGCCCGGCATGTTCTAAGCCTCTCTAGGTGCATAGCCCTGGGTGAGCTGCCCACCAGGCTGCCCAGTGCCCAGCAGGTGCACGGGGATCCCCAGAGCTGCGCTTCGTGACACGATATGGCCAGGCACCAGTGGCATGAGCATCTCCAAGGGGATGCCAGGTTTTTTTGCATGTGTGGCAGCTGCCACAGGCAGGATGTTTCGGTTTGTTGGTTCTTGACACGCCAGGACCGTGTCCACCCTCATCCTCCCCCGAGCCAGCATTCCTCCAGAGCTGTGGGGAAATCTCCCTGGCTGGAGCTGGCCACTTCCTCCCAGGGGCTGCCACTAGCCTCTCTCAGCTGGAAGTCTGGATTGGCCGAAGCTCAAGGCTAACTCCCTCCTCCCACCCCAGCCCTTCCCTGGCCTCACACTTACCCTCCACCCAGGAGGCAGCCTGAACAGAGAAGGCTCCGGGCTCACTTCCCCAGAGCCGGAAGCTCAGGGCTCCTGTCCGCGGGGTGGCTTGGGGGTGCCCTGCCAGGCTCCAGCCCTGCCGCGGCCAGGAGCAGCCGTGCTGCCGGTCCGCGAAGGAGATGAGCTGAGCTCCGCAGCCTGCCAGCCCAGCGCTCTCCCCGCTGCAGCTCGCCTCGCCTCACGGGCTGCCCCAGATCCGGAGAGAGGACGGCCCCGGGAGCCAACAAAGCCGCCCTGTCCCGGCTAACGGCCCGGAGGGTCTCGGGATTGGGCATTCAGGTCCCCAGCGGCGGAAGAAATTCCCAGACACCTACTCTGGGAAAACCATCCAGCGCTATTTAATCCCGGCCACACCAAACGCTTCGATTTCCTTTTCTTTTTTTTTTTCCTCTTTAATTAATTCCATTTCACAACAACATTGAATGTAACAATATTTTGTGTCTTTTTTTTCCTTTTTCTTAAAAAGGGACGGAACCCGAGGAGGGGGAGGGAAGGCGAAGGAGTGGGGAGGGGGAGGGGAGATGAACTATCACAGAACAACAGGTGTGGGTAAGATCGGGTAGAGCCGTCGAGCCGGGGCCATACCCCAAGGGGGCGGGGGGCTTTACAAGAAATCTGTACAGTTATCAAATAAGTTAAAATTCTCCTAAATTGATTGTCCTTCACTTAAAGCGCTCCAGTAGGACCATCTCACTCACCACAGCCGCCTATCCGGGGCTCCCTCCTTCCCCTCTTTCCCATCTTAAGTTTTTTTCCTCCTATAGGAATGAAAGGATTAAACAGCAAAAGAAGAAAAAAAAAAGAGGAAAGTCTGCTTCTCCTTCAGGACAAAGCAGGGGGCTCTCGGGGAAACTGTGTGCCATATTGCACAGGTCAAGTTAGAACCATTCCTGCGGAAGAAAAAGGCAGGGAGAGGACAAAAGACAGGTTTTTCAAAATAGATCGAAATTGCTCTTAAAACAGGGGACAAAGCATCAGCAGTCCTATTTATAATGATTCGGCAACAAATAAACTCTCTCCCCCCAAAGAGATGCTCTCCACTGGTCCTTCTGTGGAGCTGTATCGAGAATTATCAGAATTCTGATTTTTTTTTTTTTGGCCTGTCAAGTCTATCCCTTTAAACACTTAATTAGAGGATTCGGGGCCCTGGCGAAGGAGGTACAGATGAAGAGGTCAGCTGCACAGGTCCGCCTCGGATGAAAGGCGCCTCGGACTGTGAAAATTGGGCAGGGTAACTGATTGGGGGTGGCCAGTGGTTTGGCCTGGGGAGGAAGAACCACACCCAGAAGCCCAGAAATAAAGGGGCTACCAACGCGATGGTTTGCCTGTATCTCTGAAAACAAAATTGTTCTCTAGGGGGAAAAATGGGCAAATGAGAAGGGTTTTGAGCTTATTTCCTTTCATAGAAATTTAACCCCCGAAGCCACGTTCAAGGCCAGGGGGAAGCTTTTCTGTGTCTGCGAGGGAGACCGTTGGACGTTTCATCGAAGCCAAAATAGTCGACCCGGGAATTTTGCTTTATTCCTCCCCCACCACCCCTTAATTTTTCTCTTTTTTCCCTTCTGCTCTCTCAATACATAAACCAAAACCAAAAGTAAGAGGGAAGCGCCTCGAATCCATTAGGGGTGAATTGCACGAAAATGCATTGCAAATACTTACAAAAAAAAAAAAACCGCTACCGATTGGGGGAGGGGAGGCCGGGGGCTGCGCGCACCCCAGCCCCGGTTCCCGAAGGTTCCCGAAGGCCGCTGGACGTCCGGGCGCCCTCGGGCCGCCCCAGTCTCCTCCGGGGGCCTGGGGAGGGGGCCGGGCTCTCCCTCCCCCTCCCACGCCGGCTCTCAGACGGGCCGCAGCAGCGGCACGGACGAGACCACCGGGTGTGAGTAGTAGACGGGGTGCGGGAAGGTGAGCAGCGGCTGGCTGACGGGCACCGGGGCCCCCGCGGCCGCGGCCGCCGCGCCGTCGGCCGCCGAGTTCTCGTGGTACAGGATGGGCACCCGCACGATGCGCTGCGCCGCCGCGTGGCTCAGGTTGGCCGCCTCCAGCTCGGCCGCCAGCTGCCGCTTCCACTTGTTGCGGCGGTTCTGGAACCAGATCTTCACCTGCGTCTCGGTGAGGTGCAGCGAGGCGGCCAGGCCGGCGCGCTCCGAGCTGCTCAGGTAGCGCTTCATGTCGAAGGTGGACTCCAGCTGGAAGACCTGGCTGCGCGAGAAGACCGTGCGCGTCTTCTTCTTGCGGCACGCCGGCTTCTTGTCGGGGCTCTCGGCGCCCTTCTTCCAGTCCTCGGCGCCCGGCGTGCCCGCCGCCGCGCCCCCGACGCTCGCCCCGGCCGCGCCCGGCGCCGCCTCGCCGTCCTTCTTGCCCTCCTCCGAGTCGCTCTCCTCCAGGATGATCTCGTCCGGGCTCTTGGAGTCCAGCTCCTTGGGGTCGGGCTCGGCCTTGAGCAGAGGCTCCGGGGAGTCCCGGTCGGTGCCCGAGGCCGGGGACGAGTCTCGCAGGAGGGCTTTCTCGGAGGCTGCGGGGAGACAGACGGACGCACGGACACACACGCACACGGACACGCGGATTCAGCCAGGCCCCGCGCCGGCCGGGATGCGGGCGGCGCGCTCCATCCCCGCCGGCCTCCCCGAGCCTCCCCACGCCCGCGGGGCCTTCTCCTCCTTCCCGCTGGGCCCCGGGAGGGGCTCGGGCCGTGGGGGTCCCCCTCCGGACCCTCTTCCCGGGGGAGATCGATGGGGAGAGAGAAGCGGCGGCCGGGCGGGGCGCGCGCCCACCTTCCTTCCTGGCGCTCCCAGGCCAGGGGCCCCCCTCGGCGGAGTCGCACGCACCGTGGCTGGGGTCGCTCCCTCCCTCCAGGCCAGGGCCCCAGCCCCGGCCGCCGCGGGCGTCCTCCCCATCCCGGGCCCAGAGCCCTTGTCCCGGGGAGCGCCGCGCCCGTGCGGGGCAGCGAGCCCACGTCCTTTTTCTCACCAAGTGGGATTGTCTGCCCGGGCTGCGCGCGCCCCGGGCGCCGCCGGGCCGGAGGCGGCCGCGGGTGGACCGGGGAAACGGACCCAAGCGCGGGGTGGGAGGGTGGGGGCGGCGGCCGGGGAGGCCGCGCGGGGCGGGAGGACCCCGAAAGTTCGAGGAGGGCTCGGTACCTTCAGGTCGCGGGACGTGGCCGCCGGCGGGGGTCAGGGTGTAGGGGTACCACCAGGCCGGGGAGCGCTCCAGGTAGTGCGCGGGCAGCGCCAGCCTCTGCGCCGGGATCTCGAAGCGGGGGAAAGCCAGGTCGCCCACCTGCGAGAGCGCGAAGCCCGCCGCGCCCTCCAGGGCCCCCTTGGCCGCGGCGGCGGCGGCGGCGGCGGCGGCCGCGGCGGCGGCGGCGGCGGCCGAGGCCGGCGCGAAGAGCGTCCGTGGGGGCGGCTGCGGCTTGGGGGGCGGCCGGTGGTGGTCCCCGTTGAGCAGGTTCTTGATGGAGAAGGGCGACTCCTTGGGCGCGGGGGGCGGGGGCGGCGGCGGCGGGGGCTGCGCGCTGGCCGTGCCGGGGGTGTCCGGCCCGGGCTCCGGCATGGTCCCCTCTCGGCCGGGTCCCCGCGAGGGAGGGCGCGGGACGGGCGCGCGGAAATCAGACCATAAACGGAGCCCAACTACGGGGCGCGGAGTCGGGGGCCGCCCCAGGCGCAGATCCCGCGGCGGGAGGGCGGGGTGAGGCCCGGGCCGGGGCGGGCCGGCATCGGGGGGAGGGGGCGAGGGGCGGGGAGCGGCCGGGCGGGCCGCGGCGGCGGCGACGGAGCGCGGCGGCTCGGCGGCGGCCGGAGCGGTGCCCGGCTCGGGGCTGCGTCAATCCGGCGCCGGATGCTAATGATGAAATCAAAATGTCATCCAAGTTAAATGCGGAGAGTATACGGCGATTGGGCGCGCACAATGGCAAATGGGATTAGGCGGGCGAAGGCGCGGCCGAGCCGGGGCCCCGCGGCCGCCTCCGCCACCGCCCCCTCCCCGCCGTCCCTCGGATTTTGGCGCTTTCGCTCGGGGCTCTAAGAGCCCGCCCGTTATTGGCTTTATATAGTCCAATTAGGCAGCAAATGAGGACAAGCCTATTAGCACAAAAGGATATTGGCGCCCGCTAAAGAGGCACTCGGAGCGCGCCGGCGAGCGCAGGAGGCCAGCGAGGGCTGCGGGGCCGCCGGCGCCCCCGGCCCGAGCGCTCCGACCGACCGGCCGACCGACCGACCGACCGACCGACCGACCGCCGCGGCGCCCCGCGCCCGCGCCGCGCTCTCCGGCCCCCACCCCCCACTCCTGCGGCTCCGGGACCCGCTTCCAGCCGCCCGGCCGCTGGCGGGAGGGGGAAGGGGCGGGCCGGCCCGCCCGGGTCACCTCGGGGTGACACGCGCTCGCAGCTGCCGCTCCCCCGCCCCCCTCCCCGGGGCTGGCCCGGGGACCCGCCGCCACCCCCCACCCACCCACGCAGCTGGAGAGCCCGGCCGCGCGGGCCCGGGACGCAGGACGCGACCTCGGCCCGCGGCGGACTCCGCGCCAACTCCGGCGGCCTCCGGAGAAGGACCCGGCCGGGGTGTCGTGGGATGGGGGGGAAGCGGGGGGCTCGGACCCGCACCCGCCGTCTAGTCACTAGGCAGGGGAGGGGGGTTCACGGCTCAGCGATCCGCCCGGCCTTGGCCTTTGGCCCCCGGGGAGAGCGAACGGCGAGCCTCACCCCTACCCACCCGCTCGGCACCACGGAGTGGCCGTGCGTCTCGGCGCACCCCGCGTACCCGCGTGTGCGCGCCCCAGGGCCGACGCCCGCGCCGTCCCCCTTTTCCCCCGCCCCAACCCCCGGCGGGGCGGCCCGGGGAGGGGCGTCCCGGCAAGGCTCCTCCGCTCCGGCCCTCGCCCGGGACCCGTTTCCAGATGGAGACCCCCCCCCCCCCCCGAGACTCCGCACTCTGGGACGCCACGTCTCCCGTCCGCGCGTGGAGCTGCCCGACGCCCGGGAGGCGGCCAGGGCGACGCGAAGGCGCCAACCGCGCGCCCTCCGTGGCCACGGCCATCGGGTTCCTCGAGAACCCAGCTGGGCCTCGGAGGGTCACGGGACGTGGTCATCGCATTGGAACAACTCCCCGGGTGGCGGGCGTGAAGCCCGGCAGGCTGTCGCTTCGGACGGACTCTAGATTTTAGCAGGAAACGAATCAGGATTGCTCCTAACGTCCCTTGCCCTGGTTAGAGGAAGGTGGCAACGAACCAGCAAAATGCCCCCCGCCCTCACCCCCCGTGCGAGCTTCTCCAGCGGCCTTCGCGCCCTCACTGCCTTCTCGGGTTAGAATCGGAATTCCAGGCGCCCCGCCCTGGGTCCCCGCTTGAGGAGGGAGGGATGTTTTATTTCCCCATCTGGGGCTTCTGATCGACCCCCATCCCCACCCAACCTGCAGGGAACGCGTTTTCAGCCTCTCCGCAAACATTCAGCTGCAGTTAGTAACCTCGCCCTGACTGGGCAGCCTGGAGTTATTGTAAAGGGTGCTTCCGTAAACAATTATTATTGTTATTCTCATTATCATTACTCCCTTGAGTTTCCTCAGTTTTTGCTGGAATGCAGAGCGCGACTGCGGCTCAGAGTCTGAGTTGGAGGCAGCGATGGGCCTCGGAGGGTATTGGGCCTCGGAAATGGGCATTTCTGGAGAGGGGCCCATCCGGTGGCCGCCTCCGGGTTGGGCCCCCATTCCCCCGCCCACAAACCCACCCCCAGCCCAGGTCCTTTTTCTTCCCAGCTGCAGAAACGGCTGGTTTCGGAACAGGTGCATGGGAGCTTGGCTGTCAGCAGGCCTGCCTGTGAGCGTTCTGGGAACTCTGATCCGGGTGCGCTCCTGCAAACTTAGCCAAACTGCCGACGCCCAGAGGCACCTTTCTACTGAGTCGAGCAGAAAAGTTTCTGTCTCTCCAGTGGGAAAGAGGCCCCTTGGCCTGGCTGGCATCTCCGGGAAAGTTCTAGCTGGGAGAAGGCTCCGGGCGGATGGGTGGAAACTGTGGCACCCAGTTGGGAAGGGCTCAGGTTGGCTGGAGAGGAGGATGGGGGAGATCCCCACATCTTCCCCCCCCCCCCCACGTGTGAGCGGGTGCGTGTGCACCAGGAGAGGAATTTCTCCGTGTCAGCATGCCAGTCCCCTGAGTTTCAGGAATGCTGGCCTGGACGGATCAGGCGCGGAGGGCCGATTATTCTTTCTCTTGGGCTTGTAGAAAGCGTTGAAGAGGTGAGCTCTCCCAGCCAGGCGCAGACAGGACGGCCTTGAGTTCGCGCCCTGGTGGAGGCTCTGGCCTCCGCTGCCGTTGGCCCAGATTTCCAGCAAAGTCAGGCAAACAGCGCCCTCTAAGGGACAGTCGCAGGCCGCAGCCCTTGGCCCGGCTCCAGCCTGCCCTGCACAAAACCTTTAGGAAGTGGGGTTTGACCCTTGCCTAGGACAAAGGCTCGTTTTCTCTGGATTCTGGGAGGTTTGGAGGAAGAAAAGGCCTCGGACCTCGATCCATCTTTACCTGGCCACTGAGAGAAGTGGCCTCCCCTGCCTCACTGCTCGCGCTCCTCTCTCTCTGTCTCTGTCTCTCTGTCTCTGTCTCTCTATCTCTCTGTCTGTCTCTGTCTCTCTGTCTCTGTCTCTGTCTCTGTCTCTGTCTCTGTCTCTGTCTCTCTCTCTCTGTGTCCCACTCCTGTTTTGTCCCATTCTGGGGCCCTGTGATGAACCCTGAGGGTCCAGGAGCCCTCCTGCAGCGGGTTCGGGCTCTGTATGAACTGCAGGAGCAGAAGACAGCGGAACTCTGGGTCCCAGGAACTTCCCAGGACTGGCCATCAGGGCTCAGGGAGGGTCTGCACACAGGACCCCGCCTCCAGTGAACCAACGAGCAAATGCACATCTGCACCACGCACCTCTGGAGGAGTTCACCTTTCTCAGGGCCACGGGTTGGTCGCACTCATCAGGGATCTCCAGTCTGTTGCCCCAATGTAATGTGATTTTTTTAAGAGTAATGAGAACCGGGGCTGGAGTGATAGCACAGCGGGTAGGGTGTTTGCTCTGCACCTGGCCGACCTGGGTTCGATTCCCAGCATCCCATATGGTCCCCTGAGCACCACCACAAAAATTTCTGAGTGCATGAGCCAGGGGTGACTTCTGTGCATCGCCAGATGTGACCCAAAAAGGAAAAAAAAGTTTAGCGAGAACCTGAGATCTTTCTATTTTATTTATTATTTATTTGGACTCTGTGCCAGGCTGTTTTCACTAAAGGCTCCCCAGAGAGGGGCGGGTGAGAGCCCTCCCTGTCCCAAGGGACCCAGCCCTGGCAGCCAATCTCCACTACCCAACTGCCACCACGCTCCAGGCCGCTTTCTGGACCGCGTGGTCACAAAGCGGCCGTGTGACACATCATAAGACAATTCCTACCCGTTTTCTATAATTACCACATTATATTTGATAGGGTTTAGACAGTAGGCAACAAATCATAGAGAGAAATATAAAATATAAATTAATAATAGACATAAATATATGTCCATTATGATATATATAATAAATATATATCTCTCGGAGAGTCCGGCAAGCTACAGAGAATATCCTGCCCACACAGGCAGAGCCTGGCCAGCTCCCCGTGGCATATTTGATATGCCAAAAACAGTAATGACAACAGGTCTCATTCCCTTGACCCTGAAAGAGCCTCCAATCGTTGGGAAAAGACAAATAAGAAGAGGCTGGGAGGAATAGAGATGACAACGGGATGACAGTGATACAGTCATTTATTTATAATTGAATCATCAGTGGGATACACTGTTACAAAGTTGTTCATGATTGGGTCTCAGTCATACAGTGTTCCAACACTTGTCCCTTCATCAGTGTCCACCATCATCACTTTCATCAGTGTCCCCAATTTCCCTCTCACCAATGACCCCCCCACAGCCTACCTCCTATGGCAGGCACTTTTCCTTTCTCTCTCTCTCTCTTTCTCTCTCTCTCTCTCTCTCTCTCTCACCCTCTTTCCTTCTCTTTTTGGGCATTATGGTTTGCAGTACAGGTACTGAGAGGTTATCATATATATCCCTCTACCTCCATCCAGCATGCAGTTCCTGTCCAGAGTGATCACTTCTGAGTATCATTGTCGTAGTGGCCCCGTCTTGATTCCAACTGCCTTCTCCCCGTCCCCACTTGTGGCAAGCTTCCAACAGTGGTCCCGTCCAAACCTGAGGCCTTTTGATCGCTGTTCATCGATTTGCTCCAGTGGGCCCAGTAACGTCTCCATTGTGAGACTGGTTGTTATTGTGTTTGGCATACATTACGGGGAGCTTGCCAGGCTCTGCCGTGCGGGCGAGATACTCTCGGTAACTTGCCGGGCTCTCCGAGAGGGGCGGAGGAATCGAACTTGGGTCAGCCATGTCAGCCGCGTGCAAGGCAAACACCCTACCCGCTGTGCTATCGCTCCAGCCCTTTTGACAGCACATTTTACAAAACCTGAAGGAGAGCTTGTCTCACTTGCTTGAAGTCCCAGAACCTTTGGGCCCACACAACTGGGCCAAGCCTTGAGTGCCATTATGTTTGTGG